TCACACTCTCTCCCTCCAAGATAAATAAATCTTTAAAAAAAAAAAAAAAACAAAACAGTTCTTTATCTACTGTATAATTTTTTTTTAATAAAATGCACTAATATCAACTATTTGAAGTTCTGTTAACTGGTTGACACAAAAATATTCTATTAAGCAACAGTCCCTAATAATTTCGTGTAACAATACCACAATAAGCAAACTGCAGGCATGTGGGAATATTCTCCCCAGGACACTCATCCAGATGATGGTTCTTCTTATTCTCATTTTGTTGCTGGATTCTCAAAGAATGGCTGATGGGTAAGAATTTGAGACTAGTCACCACCTCAATACTCAAAATACTTACTTGAAAAGAAAATAGTGTATGTAGTCATGCCCATCTCTCCACCAAAAATATTCCTGAAATGTTTTCATTCATTCATGCATTCATTCATTCACTTATTTAACAAATAATTTACTTTGTTAAATTATTATGACCCTATTAATAATTAAATTATTATTAGACCCTATTATGCTATACTCTTTCCAACCTCTGGAAAAGATACAATGCAAGTCACAAACCTCACTTCCCATACTACTCAAAGACATAACTGAAAGGCAGCTTAAACTCTCCTGAACCAAGACAATGTACCACAGAGAACCATACTAGAGCCTGCCAATAAAACTAGCTAATTATATTCAACCTGTTAAAATCCAGCAAGAGGGAAAAATGAACAACATATAAGAATATTTTTACAACCTAAATAATTAATAGGATTTGCTATTATATCTAATATTCCAAACTAAATAGGCAATTTCTCCAAAACTGAATCCGGAAGAAAGAGAAAATTAGAAGAAACCAATTACCAGCAGTAACTGAATCAGTAATCAAAAAACCCCCAACAAACAAAAGTTGAGGATGAGATGTGTTCATGGGTGAATCTGACCAAACATTTAAAGAACAGATAATACCCAGTCTTCTCAAACTAGTCAAAAAAAAAAAAAAAAATAGAAGAGGAAGGAAAACTTCCAAATTCATTCTATCAGGCCAGTACTACCCTGATACCAAAATCAAAAAAAGACACTACAAACACAGGGAACTACAGGTCAACATAGATGTAAAAACCCTCAACAAAATACTAGCAAACTGAATCCAACAATACATTAAATAAAAATAATTCACCAGAGATAAGTGGAATTTATTCCCAGAATGCAAGGGTGATTCAATATTCACAAATCAATCAACATGATACATCATATTCACAAGATAAAGGATAAAAACTATACGATCATTTCAACAAACACAGAAAAGCATTTGACGAAGTACAACATCCACTCATGATAAAAACCCTCAACAAAGTAGGTTTAGAGGGAACATACCTCAACATACTAACGGCCATATATGAAAAACCCACAACCAACATCATACTCAATAGGTAAAAACTGAGAGCTTTTCTCATAGGGTCAGGAACAAGACAAGGATGTCCACACTAACTGCCCTTTTTTTTTTTTTTTAAAGACTTCTTTATCTGAGAGAGAGTGGGAGAGCAAAGAGAGAGAGAAATCACAAGAGCGCCAAGAGGGGAGAAGCAGACTCCCCACTGAGCAGATGCTCTGATGTGGGGCTCGATCCCAGGACTGGGGGATCATGACCTAAGCCAAAGGCAGACGCTTAATGACTGAGCCACCCAGGCATGCCCCCTCTCACTGATTTTATTCAACATAGTACTGGATGTCCTACCCACAGCAATCAGACAGCAAAAAGAAATAAAAGGCATCCAAACTGGTAAGGAAGAAGTAAAACTTCCACTATTTGCAGATGACATGATACTATATATAGAAAACCCTACAGATTCCACCAAAAAATTACCAGAGCTGATTAACAAACTCAGTAAGGTCACGGGAAAATCAATATACAGAAATCTATTGCACTTCTATACACTAATAATCAAGCAACAGAAAGAGAAATTAAGAAAGCATCCCATTTACAATTTGCACCAAAAGAAATAAAATACATAGGAATAAACTTAACTAAGGAGGTGAAAAACCTGTACTCCAAGAACTATAAAACACTGATAATGGGGCGCCTGGGTGGCTCAGCAGGATGAGCATCCACCTCTTGATTTCCGCTCAGGTCATGATCTTGGGGTCCTGGGATAGAGCCCTGCATCGGGCTCTGTGCTCAGTGGGGAATCTGCTTGAGGATTCTCTACTTCTTCCTCTGCCACGCCCCCTGCTCACATACCTACATGCACATGTGCTCTGTTTCTGTCTAAAAATGATTTTAAAAACTATAAAACACTGATAAAAGAAATTAAAGATGACACAAAGTGAAAAGATATTCCATGCTCATGGAATGGAGGAACAAATGTTGTTAAAATGTGCATACTACCCAAATCAATTTACAGATTTAATGCAATCCCTATCGAAATACCAACAGCATTTTTCACGAAGCTAGAACTAACATAAATTTTGTATGGAACCACAAAAGACCCTGAACAGCCAAAACAATCTGAAAGTATCAAAGCTGAAAGTATCACAATTCCAGATTTTGAGTTATATTACAAAGTTGTAGTAACTGGGGCACCTGGGTGGCTCAGTCATTAAGCGTCTGCCTTTGGCTCAGGTCATGACCCCAGGGTTCTAGGATGGAGCCCCACATCGGGATCCCTGCTGAGGGAAACCTGCTTCTCCCTCTCCCACTCCCCTTGCATATGTTCTCTCTCTGTGTCTCTGTCAAATAAATAAATAAAATCTTTAAAAAAAAAAAAAGCTATAGTAATTAAAATAGTATAGTACTACCACAAAAACAGACACACAGATCAATGGAACATGACAGAAAGCCCAGAAACAATCTCATGATTATATGGTCAATTATCTTCATCAAAACAGGCAAGAATATGCGATGGGGAAAAGTCTCTTCAACAATGGTGTCAGGAAAACTGAAGAGCAAAAGAATGAAACTGTACCACCTTCCTATACCAAACACAAAAATAAATTCAAAATGGATTAAAGAACTAAATGTGAGGCATGAAACCGTAAAAACCCTAGAAGAGTGTACACGCAGTAATTTCTCTGACATTGGCCATGGCAACTTCTTTCTAGGTATGTTCCCTGAGGCAAGGGAAGCAACAGCAAGAATAAACTACTGGGACTGTATCAAAATGAAAAGCTTTTGCACAGCAAAGAAAACAATCAACAAAACTAAAAAACAACTTGCAAAATGGGAGAAGATATTTGCAAATCTGCTAAAGGGTTAGTATCCAAAATACACAAAGAACATAGACAACTCAACACCAAAAAACAAAAATCCAATTAAAAAATGGACATTTCTCCAAAGACGACACATGGGGGGCCAACAGACACAAGAAGATGCTCAACATCACTCATCATCAGGGAAACAGAAATCAAAACTACAATAAGATACCATCTCACAACTGTCAGAATGGCTAAAATCAAAACCACAAGAAGCAAGTATTGGCAAAGATGTGGAGAAAAAGGCACTGTTGGTGGGAATGCAAACTGGTATAGCTGCTGTGTATAAGAATGTTCATATACATGAATGTATGAAGTTCCTCAAAAAATTAAAAATAGAACTACTGTGGGGTGCCTGGCTGGTTCATTCAGAGCATGCAGCTCTGCCCCCTCCCCCCCCCAAAATAAATAAACCATTTTTAAAATGTAAGATTAAAAAAAAATTAAAAATAAAAAATGTAAGATAAAAGATATCAAGGGAAACATTCCACTATTTCAAATTTACTTCAAAAGTAATTATAAATGCAATGAGAAATGCAAATCTGTTTTGCATCATTATTTTCACTAATAGCAAAATGCAGCTCTAAAAGAAATTCTGAAATCATGTATGAAAAGGTTAACATAAAAAACACCCATTAACATTTCATATTTAGAAAATACCACCTCCATCAAAATTTGACTCAAACTCTCAGGACTAAAATTTGTTTTATATACTCACAGCCTCCACACAAATCAATTTTACCAATTTTTAGGACAATTTTGGTAAATACACGTGTGTGTACATATGTAGTACATGTGTGCAGCTGGCTAGCAGCATGGCAGAAATGAAATTTCTTTAAGATTTGGTATGTCGGAGCTAGGATAAAATTCACAAGTATCTACAAATTGAGAATAATTACAGGTTTTCAAATACATTGTATTTTTGTCTTTTTTTCCCTTGAATACTGTCATTGAATAATTTTACAAGCATCTTCTAACTTGTAGAGCTTTCTAAAAATTGTATTTCTCTAATTTTGTCTTTTGTGTATTAGTGCAGTGGTGGGGTTTATTTCCTTCAACTATCCTACTGCCTTCCTTCTTTTTTTCCCTTTCCTTCTTTCTTCCTCCTTTCTATGGTTGTAAATACCAGTTAACTCCTTTGTGATCCCAGGAAAGAAAATTTACCCCTCTGATTCTCAATTTTCTTTTATGTAAAATAGGGTTGATTCTATCTCATAGAGTTTGGTATGTATTAAAACACCAATAGGCACTCAATGCTAGTTCTCTTGGTTTTTCTCCCCACAACCCACCTTTCTGGTGTTTAAAATCTGACTTAGTGCAATCAATAAAAATAAAAAGATCATGAAATATTCCAAATTTACACACTAAAGCATGAGAGAACTCCTATGTACCTATCAACCAACCAGCTTCAAACATTATCAACATTCTTTCACATGTCATTTTAACTAATAACGTATGGCTTCTATACGTTTGTTTTCTTTGACTCTCTACAATTTGTTCTTTGGAATTAAAATACTTTAAGGTTACCAAACTTGAGGAAGTAATTTTGTAGGAACTTAAAGTCTGCTGCCAAAAATTTTATGAAATTAAGGAGATAGTATCCATGATACATTCAATGTCATAGTACTATACTCAAGAACAGGATCCAATGTGTGTTGTACCATTCTTTTTTGAGAGCAGTATCATTTTGCTTGTCTCCTAGAATGATTCTGGATTTAAAATGGTGTTACAATCACCATGTACTTATACATGGGGTCTGATTTTATTTTTTTAGAGGTAGAAGTCTAATAATCTAATTTAAGATTAACAGATACAGACTTAGGTTCGATATAATAAGGACAGTTTTCAATAAGCAATAATCGCGCCTCGGATAAACCTCATTGGCTACAATACTGCCACTGCGCAAAGCTAATAGGACAGTTTTCAATTAGTGAATTTGTTGAATGGACTTTTGTCCTATTTGGTACAGATTCACATGCATACTCCTTTAAAGATCTTATCGTCAGTAACCCTGAAGACGTTATCACAATTTCTCTAATACTTATATTGCTGTAATTTTGTTTTAGCTCTTGTCATTATGGGGGGAGGGGGTACTCTTAATTGCAAATCATTGTCCATCACAGTCCCAAAAGCCTCAAATCACTGGGACTACTGCATAATATAAGTTGTATCTGAAAATGCCAACTCATTGGTATGGATGAGGAAAACCCATCCTGTATAAATGTGAAGACATGAAAACTTGTTATGGAATAAAATTTTAAGAGTATTTTTGCCTAAAGCAACTCAAATTTTGACTCGAATGAGCACATTTTCAGCTAGCTTATCTGCTCTGTGGCTCCACAGGGTATATTATTAGTTGACTGGTACATTCTATTTTTTTTTCTATCCTTTAGAAGAAGGTGGAAATTTCCACCAAGACTCTTTATCTCTCCCTCTACCTATGGCAAGTGAAACTCATTCCCCTTCATTCCCTTGGGCTGCTTCTTCTTTTCCTTGCAATCTGTATTCTGTTCTTTTTGAACTGGAAGCTTCCTTGGCATTCTACCTCAAGTTTAAAAGCCTCTGAAGTATTACTCAGGAAAAATGAAAACATGTCCACACAAAGACCTCTATGCAAATGTTCTAGGGCAGTTTTATTCATTGGCCAACAGAAACCTCTTCATGACTGAATGAACAAACTGTGGTACATCCATACAACAGAATATGATACAACAATAAAAAGAAACAAACTATTAATACATGCAAGAACAAGGAGTAATCTCAAATGCAGTAAATTACATATAAGAAGCTAGTCACAAAAGGATACCTAGTGTATGATTCCATTTCTACTGACATTCAAAAAAAGACAGAATGATAGGGACAGAAATTAGATCACTGGCTGCCAAAGGCTGAAAATGAGGGAAAGGACTAACTACAAAGGTGTACAAGCGAACTTTTTGAAGGTGATAGCCTACATCCCAATCATGATGATGGCTACAAGACTATATATGTCAAACTGTACAACTAACAGGGATGAATTTTACTCTACAGATATTATACATAAATAAACATGACTTTTAAAAAATGATGAAAGTATAATCTCTGCCTTCAAGCTCATGGTCTAGCAGGTTAAATATATAAAAACATAATATAAAAGAATGAAGTAAATGCTATAATAAGTTATAACCAAAGTTCTGTGGTGAGACGGAGGAAGAGTGAAATCTTAGAAGGGGGTAATGGGTTCTTAGAAAACACAGTTTATAAATTATGTGTAAAAGTAAAGTGTAAGCATGACTATGGCAAGCAGAGAAGGAAGAAAAGCACCCAAGAAGAGAGAACAGCTGACAGAAAAGCACAGAAGTCATAGATGCAGGACCTATTAAAAGTAAAAGATACATAGTTCAGTATATAGAGTGGCCATGACAACAGAGGAAAGAAAAGTCTAGGAAGGGAGCGGCCTCATAAACCACACTATGGAATGGTATGGCAGAGGAAAAGGACAGTTTTAAAAGGTGTTAACAATAATCCTTTCAAGAGATATTTGGGGTCAGAATTAAGAAGTAGACTATTTGGTGACAGACTGGTTGTGGGAATGAGGAAGAAAGATAAATCAAGGTTAAAGTGATACCACTGAAATGAAGAATGCAAAAGGAAACAAGGGGATATGTGTGTGTGCGTGTGTATGTGTGTGTTTGTGTGTGTGCGTTAAGATTTATCTATTTTAGAGAAAAGAAGAAAGAGGGAGGGAGGGAGAGAAAGAACTCACGAGTCAGGGGTGAGGGGCAGAGAGGGAAGGAATCTCAAGTCCACTCCGCATTGAGTACAGAGCCTGACCCCGGGCTCAATCTTAAAACCATGAGATCATGACCTGCACCAAAAACCAATCAGAGGCTTAACAGACTAAGCCAACTGAGATTTGAATTTCAGTTGGGGGAAATCATCTGACTTCTGTTTTCCTATCTACTAATTAACTTACGTGTATCCCTTCTCTAATTAAAACAGAGTTTATTATAAATTACATATTTTAACTACTTTATAAAATAACTGTAAGAAATAAAGGCAACCCAGCATAATCTCACCAAAATCTTTAAGATGTCTTAAAGACAGCAGATAGAAAGAATGAAAGAAATGAAAATAGGAGCAGAAAAACTTACTAGTTTTAAATATTGCATGAGCTTCTTAATTTACATACTAGATTCCAAACTTTACTTGAAAATTATTTGAAATCTACAACACATTTTCTCAAAAAAATAATGGGATATAAAGTAGAGCTGAACTCTGGAATTACAGAAGTTTTGTATCAACCACAACCACCAAAGCACTGCAGTTAGGACAACAGGCTACTCTAAAGTTAGACTACTTGGAGTTCAATTTCTACCTCCTCTATTTTGTGTGACTTTGGGCAAGTTAACTATACAAGTCTTAGACTCCTCACTTTTAAAAAACAGGTGATAGGGGTGCCTGCCTGGCTCATCCAGTAGAGTATGTGACTTCTGATCCAGGATTCTGAGTTCAAGCCCCACGCTGGGTGTAAAGATTACTTAAAAATAACATCTTGAAAAAAAAAAAAAAAATTAAAGCTTCTTCTGCCGCTCCTGGTGCTGCTTGTGTGCTCGTTCGGTGCGGACCTGGTACCTCTTTTGTGAAGCAGCAGCTGAGGAGACTCCGGCACTCGCCATGGCCGACAAAAAGCCCAAGGAAGGAGTCAAGACTGAGAACAACAATCATATTAATTTGAAGGTGGCGAGGCAGGATGGTTCTGTGGTGCAGTTTAAGATTAAGAGGCATACACCACTTAGTAAACTAATGAAAGCCTATTGTGAACGGCAGGGTTTGTCAATGAGGCAGATCAGATTCCGATTTGATGGGCAGCCAATCAATGAAACAGACACACCTGCACAGTTGGAAATGGAGGATGAAGATACAATTGATGTGTTCCAGCAGCAGACAGGAGGTGTCTACTAAAAAGGGAACCTGCTACTTTACTCCAGAACCCTCTTCCTCCAGACCAAGAAGACATTCTCACTTAGAAAGCCGCAATTTGGTTCCACCACATCCTGACTACTACAGTATAGTTTTCTCTATTCTTTCATTTTCCCCTTCCCCATTCCTTTATTGTACATAAAGTAACTATGTATGTGCACAAGCATATTGCATTTTTTTTTAACTAAATGGCCAATGGTATGTTTTGATTGACATCAAATGGAGATGGGATGGGGGAAAATACTGCTTCTGTGAAAATACTCCCTCTCTCCATTAGTGGCATGCTCAGTCAGCTCTTATCTTTATATTCCAGTAAGTTATTTTGCTCTCACTGTTTAACAAAAAAAGAAGAACATAAAAATCCTTGCATACCTTGTTCGATTGGAGAATTTTAATGTTTTTCATTTATCATTGTAAAACCAAGGACAATTTTATAACTTTTTTGTACGTAGCTGTTACATGTAGGGCCATCTGTCTTTAAGTAGGGATAAATTACTCTAAAAGAAATGAATCATAGATAGTTTTCCCTTCAAGTCAAGCGTCTTGTTGTTTAAATAAACTTCTTGTTTAAAAAAAAAATTAAAGATGCTAATATTACCTACTCAAAGAATTACAAGGATTAGGAAAGATAATCAATTTAAAGCACTTAGCATATTCGTTCATCTAACGTGTATTTATTGAGCACCAACTATGTGCCAGGCCCTAATACTAAGCACTGGCAATAAAGCAGTAAACAAAAAACAAAGTCACTACTGTCAGGGATCTTATGTTCTTATATAAGTAGACACATAACAAATGAAATATCTAAAGAAAATAAATGATATAAAAATAAAGTAGGATACAAAAAAAAAAATCAAAGTAGGATACAGAAGGTAAAGAGTGACGGGGGGGCAGGGGTACTAGTTTGGCAGTAGGAAAGTTCCTCTAATGAGGAGACATCTGAAAGAGACTTCTTAAGGAAATGAAGGACAGAGTCATATATATAAACGGAGAAAGAAATCAGATCCCTTTCTGGCAATACAGAAAACTTACAAAATCCAGAAAAATATTCATGATTCAGAATTGCTTAAAATGGTGAATATTCAACAACAACAAACAAAAAGGTTATTTTTGTTTTGTTCTGTTTTGTTTTTCATAAACGGTTGGGCTGAAGAGAAAGCAAGAAAAATCCTCAGAGGTAGGAAAGAATAAAGTTTCAGTGAGCACTGAGGCTTGCCCTGAGAGCATCCACCAATCTTTAGTATTAATGAATTGGATCTAAAGGGGCTGCTTGAGGGAAAAGGATAAAAATCTTGGGGCCTAAGTAAGGTAGGAAATCTGAAGACCACCACTCTCCGTGGGTGAATGGGGAGACATGCTCAGCACAGAACACAGTGGAGATATTTGCCTATCTCAACCTAGGCAGAAGAGAAAAAAAGAAGTCTATCACCTATCACTCCAGTTTGAGGACAGAATTCATACCAAGTGTCAGATCTAACAAATTCAAACTAAAAATTTAGTTTTGAAAGATTCTGAGTTAGAAAAGACTAAAGGGGTGCCTGGGTAGCTTAGTCAACAGAGCATCTGACTCTTGATTTTGGCTCAGGTCATGATATGGGGATCCTAGGATCAAGCCCCACAACAGGCTCCCCACTCAGCAGGGAATATGCTTGATCTCCCTCTCCCTCTGTCCCTCCCCCTGTTCATGCCCCACTCCCCACCCATCCCCCTCATTCTCCATCTCTCAAGTGACTAAATAAATCTTTAAAAAAAAAAAAAAAAAAAAGACAACAACGACACTAGACCATGAGGGCACGTGGCTGGCTCAGTCAGAGGAGCATGGGACTCAATGTCGCAGTTGAGAGTTCAAGTCCCACAGTGAGTATGGAGATTCTGTGCTTAAAAATAAAATCATAAAAAAGAATAAAAGAGACCAGAGCATGACAGAAGCAAATATCAATTTTGCCAAGAAGCGTACACTTTAAACCCAGATCTTAAACTATCCCCACAAATAAAGTCCATAGAATATAAGCTCAATTTTTTTTTAAATCACAAAATAATGAACAGCCAACAAATGAGCAGAACAAATCTTAAAGAAACAGAACTCCCAAACAACAAAAAAAATAAAAATGATCAGATATGAAATACTGAAATGTTCAAATAAGATATCAAAAATAGGAAGGGGAGGGGGGCAGTACCTGGGTGGCTCAGTTGGTTAAGCATCTGCCCTCAACTCAGGTCACAATCCCAGGTTCCTGGGACTGAGCCCTGCATTGGGCTCCCTTGCTCAGTGTGGAGGCAGAGTGCTCTCTACCCCTCCCCTGCTCATGCTCTCTCTCAGTCTCTCTCTCTCAAATAAATAAAATCTTAAAAAAAAAAAAAAAAAGTAGGATTCAGGAAGAAACTATAAAATATGATTATGAAAGAATGAAACATTTCAAGATTTGAAATTTATAATTTATATATCATTTATTGATATTTATAATATAATTAGATATTTGAGAGATCTTTCTAGGCAGAGGGAAAAACTAGAGCAGGGGAGCTAGTGCCTCCAGAACTGAATAAGCAAGGAGGCAGAGTGGAAAGAAATGAGGACAAAGGGTAATACTCACTAGGTCACACAAGCACTCAATAAATATTAGCTATTATTATCCCATAATTTCTACTGGAAAAATGTGGATTATAATCATTTCTTCTTTCCCACTTCAGTATCAAATACAGCAGCCAGAGACGAGCTCCAGAAAACTCCAACACGGTTCAGAAGGGAATCAAAAAATAATTGCTTTCTATGAAGTGGAAACAGTCCTAAGTAGTAGTTCCAGCACCAAGAAAGAAATCTGGGTCTTGGTGAGCAAGACAGAGAAAAAGGAAAAAGGAAAACTATCCCTAAGTGATTCAGAAGAGGAGTACCTGGAGGCAACAATGATCAAAAAGAACAAAACGATCCAGTTGAAACTGCCATTTGGTGGGGGGGGGGGGAGCATTTTGAATTTGGGTAATAATTAGGAATCAGAACATCCTTTCGAGATTCAAAAATTTCACAAGTGGGGTGCATGAATGGCTCAGGCATTGGGCATCTGCCTTTGGTTCAGGTCCTGATCCCAGGGTCCTGAGATCAAGCCCTACAATTGCACTCCCTGCTTAGTGGAAAGCCTGGTTCTCCCTCTCTCACTCCCCCTGCTTGTGCTCCTTCTCTCCCAGCCTGTCAGATAAGCAAATAAAGTCTTTAAAATATAAAAAAAAATTTTCCACAAGTGAAGTCAACATTTACATCCTATAGCAGTGGGAATTTAGAGTAAATAAACCTTTCAAAGGTATGCCAAATTTTTCCATTTTAACTTTAATGCTCAACTTCTTCTAAATCTTTTCAAGACACAGCAATAAGCAGCAAAACTAAAATTTGATTTTTCTTTTCTTTCATATTGGCTGTCTGGCTAAGGCACTAACAGAACCATGAACAAAACACAAGTAATGCAGGTTAAGAATAATATTCATAAATCACGAATTAGCTATATGATCAATCCCTAATATAAAGAGTTGGTAATTTCATTTTTCCCTGATTATCAAAGAAAATTGATTGGTATATATCTTAAACATGCATAAATTATCATGTACCCTCTGACACACAGGAAACTGTGTGATTAAAAAATCAAACAAAGCATGCAGTGTTAAATCAATGAAGTTTTAAGGTAATTCATTTTCTCAAAGCTTATCACTCTTATTGTTTCTGATTATCATAAACTAATTTTTCAATTATTACAGTTCTTGAGGAACTTAGTTAAGTGATCATTTTCTACAATTCTAATACAAGCCTCCAACTTATATTAATAGTCACCTAGTATAACATAGTGAGAAGATTCAGGCTCAAACAACCTGGGTTTAAATCCTATCTTACATCTTTAATTTCCCCAATCCTGTCTTCTCATTTATAAAACAAGTTTAATAAAGTACTACGTCAAGTAGCTGTTCTGTAAATTGAGATAATCCTTATAAAACACTTATGTTGGCTAAGTTTAATCAACACTCAGTCACACACCCTGACTTACATCCAGGTTCAGCTTTATTACAACTGGGTCACAGGACAAAGGATTAATTTCAGTCTTCCCTCCTGAAGCCCACTTGAATAATTTGATGTAACTGTTCATGCACAATGCATTTAACCTACAGAATATAAAATCAGTGTCTAACAATATAAACTAGAAAAATATCTATACAATATACTATGCTGAATTTAAAACTTGGCTAAACTGAGTCATTGTTTTTAAATGTCTCACTTAAAGTAAATAAAGTAAACAAATGAACAGAACAGTCTCTACTGTTCTGAAACAACACTCCTGAAAAATTAGCTCACGAAAAATTAGCTCATGATCCAGGATTACTAACACCTTTGTAAACAACCCCCCCTTGGAGATGATAGAACTTAACTAATACAGAACAGAAGCAGTGTATATGAATAACTAAAGATATAAAAGAACCAAGACAAAAGAAAAAAATAGAAGATTTTATTTTTTTAAAAAATACAAATTTGAAGAACTTCTAAAAATACAGTCACTAAAAAGAAAAACTCATTAATAGGTGAGACAACAGATTAGATAGAAATGAAGAAACCAGAAGAAAGACACGATCACAAGACAGACTGAAAACATGAAAGATTAAGAGACATGCAGGATAAAATGGAAAAAAACTAACATGTCATGTATTAGGAGTTCCAAAATACAAATAAATAAAATGAATAGGGCACCTGTCGGTTAAGCAGCTGCCTTTGGCTCAGGTCATGATCCTGTGGTCCTGGGATCGAGCCTAGAATTGGGCTCCCAGCTCAACAGGGAGTCTGCTTTTCCCTTTCCCTCTCACCCTTCCCCCCTCCCCCCTGCTTGTGCTCTCACTCGCTCTCAAATAATAAAAAAAATCTTCCAAAAAAAAAAAAAAAAGATAGATAAAATGAAGAAAGCCATTATTTGTGAGAATCTCCCAGAAAAACACAAATTCTCAAATTTAGGAAGCACAATCACCAATAGATAAGTTATGGTGAAACTACAGAACCCTAAATCCAAAGAAAAAAATCTTAAAAAACCACAAAAACAGATTAGCTGTAAAGTTAAGCAATTAAAACTATAACAGGGACAACTTCAATAAGAGACTAAAACGGGGAACAGAACACAATCTTGAAAATATTAAAAGTATTGTCAACTAGAATTCTGCATCCAGCTAAACTATATTCAAGAACAAGGGAAATATGAGGAAATTTCTACACAAATAATGAGTTTACCACTCAAAGACCCTCACTAAAAGAACTACTGGGCACCTGGGTGGCTCACTCCATTAAGCATCCAACTCTTGATTTCAGCTCAGGTCATGATCTGAAGGTTGTAAAGATCAAGCCTCACATCAGACTATGTGCTGGGCCTGGAGACTGTTTAAGATTTTCTCTCCCTCTTCCTCTGCCCCTCCTCCCCTCAAAAAATTTAAAAAAAAAAAAAAAAGAAACTACAAAGGGACACACTTCAGAAATAGAACCAAGAAACAGAGTGAGATGCACGACATACATATGAGCCAACGGCTCAGTAAACATCGGTAAATCTCAGAACTATGAA